GAAGGCAGACGCTTAACGACTGAGCCACCCAGGCGCCCCTGCCTTTAATTTTTAAATCAATTTTCCAGGAAAAAAAAAAATCAGCTCACTACTTTTAACTCAAGTGACTTGTTTTTCCACAAGTCAGCAGTATTTAGTAATAGAAACCAAATCCTCCTAATATCTTATTAACCCCCCACTTAAGGGAATGAGAATGTAAATATAAAACATGTCAAACAGTAAGATTCTATTATAATGGTGTTTTTTCTTTGAAAAATGAAATTATTTAAAAAAAAAATCTTAAGTTACTTGGAGATGATTGTACTATCTACACAGATAAAGCAGTAGGAAAAGATACCATGGACTTTTAAATCAACTTCCCGAAATCTCTTTACTTAAAAGGACAGTGAGTAAGTTTCCTCAGAGCTCAAGTTCAGATGGGCCCAACATATTTCATTCTCAGAAAATATAAAATTGACTTTGTGTGGTGGATCTGTTCAGGATTGAGGACAACAAATAGAAATATAGTGAAATTGCTTCATGTAGCTACTTCTGTCACAAATCAATAAATTTAGATTTTCATAAAACTTATTATATGTCATTGTTCCCTCAAATGGGACCAGCACTGTTTCTGAAAAAGTCTAGGGGCAATTGGGGGAGGGATGGGCGAATATAACAAAGCTTTTATCTCCCTGTTAGCTTTGGGAATTAAAATAACATTAGAATAAATTGGAAAAAAGCCCCAAACTCCATCGCATTACTGAAGAATTATTTCATTCATAAAACATGTTGAGTTAATTTTAATCCATATTAGTTGAATGGAAACGTAGTCTTGCTCTTTCAGAATGTCAGGCTTCTGAGTTATTTACTGGGATATACAACTTCTGTAGGTAACAAATATGTTTTATTAAGACATTATATATGACTCTATGATAAAAAGTAAAGGAAAATCTGAGGAAGGGTTATTCTACAGAGGACAACACAGGAGATGGGCCATATAAGAGCTGAAGCTGGCTCTATGACCTGAAGATTATTAGGAGGCAGTGGCAACACAGTGGTAGAGAGGGCAAAGAAATGAAACCAGAAGAAATACATCGACACAGTGACACACTGTTTAGTTCTTTGTCCCTTTCCTGTTGTGTCGTATGTGAACAATGGACAATAATTTGGTATCTTTTTCTTTTAAAGGGACAAATGAATAGGCTCTTTAAATGAAATTTATTTCCATAAACATGCACTTTATTTAAATTTGTGATTGTGAGGTATTTACTGAGATGCATGTGAAACTAAAAAGTTTCTTTCATTGAACAATGATTCTTACTTTCAGAGAACTAGGTTATCATTATTTATCTTTTAAAACAAGGCACATATAACTAGGCTCTTCATTACAACAGTACAGATTCATTAAATATGGAAAATAAAAACCCAAAGTTAGCAAAAACATAAGATCATATCTTACTTTTACAGTTTCTACATCACCAGCCTTTGCAGCTTCCAGCAATTGTCTGTCTGCCTCTGAATTACCTAACGGGATACCCTCTGAAAAGAGAAGGAAAGAGTGATTAACTCCCATGGAAAAGGCAGGACCAAGCTTTAAGAGAGGCAGCTTATCTCAAAGTAAAGTTCTTTTACAGTTTGGCAGATTATATAATAAATCTCCATGGTAGCAGAGGAACACCAGGAAGACTTTGTTAAGAATTTTTGTGAGACAAGGGGCGCCTGTGTGGCTCAGTCGTTAAGCGATTGCCTTCGGCTCAGGTCATGATCCCAGGGTCCTGGGATCGAGCCCC